GAAGAACGGCATGCTGTCCTTACTAAGAAACTGTCCCTTGGGGTCCCAAGATGAATTCACTTATCCTTGCTCACTCATCCTATGACTAATTCAGCCAGCCCATCATAAACATGCACATTCATTTCCCTCCCCACGTGATTTCCCCACTAGCCTACGCTTTTACACCACACTCAGCTTTACTATGTGATAAAACATTTTTTTAGGAATGTAAACTCCCTCTCTAGAACTCTATGATACTATATAAATTTGAATGACCTAAAATAAAAATACTAGCTACAGGGGCTCCTGGTTGGCTCAGTCGGTAAAAGGATCTGCCTTCAGCTCAGGTCATGATCCCAGGGGCCTGGGATGTAGCCCCACATCAGGTTCGCTGCTCAGCGGGAGGTCTGCTTCTCCCTCTCCCTCTCCCTCTGCCTGCTGCTCCCCCTGCTCATAATCTCTCTCTCTCAAATAAATAAAATCTTTAAAAAATACTAGCTACAAATATATTACATTGTAAACTTGAGACCACAAATGGTATACTGGCATCTTCCAACAAGCCACAGAGGTAAGGAAAACATGAATGACATTATATTTTTCTTAAAAACGAAACCATATTAAATAGCATATAATCTCTAATACAGCTATAGTTGCCAAATTAGACTTTTTCCAAGACTCCACAAATTTTACCCTTCCTAGTCTTCCAACCCTAGAGTTCTAGTCAACACATCTGAAGGGCTCAGATGTCCAGTCATGTAATGAGCACCCACCACATGTGAGATGCTGTGTTAGGCCTTGGGGAGGAAAAAAACTACACTATCCTGCCCTTTAGGGAACTCAAAATTAAAAGTTCTTAACATGCAATGTTTACGGGAGACAAGAGGATGAGAGGGTGACAGCTCTACGAGACTGTGTTCTTGCCATTTGTGTAAGGTGATGGGCAAGAAAATAAGCCAACCTAGTGGAAAAAAGAAAACACAAAAGAAGCGCAACTGTAGTTATCACAACAGTGGCCTCAATCTACCGATGAGCCAGAATAGTTTAACCAAATTTACTGTTCATTAGTGGCTGTCCCTTCATGGGTGCTTAATAAATATGTGTCAAATAAATACATGAAAGAAAGTGGAAATCTGTCCCTAAGCCTTATGAGATCTGGAAGCATGATGGAACAACTGGGGCCAAGGCAATGCTTCCTGCCAAAGCAAGCACGAAACTACAGTTCTAACCATGCTTTGGAGACTATTGGAACAAAATGGTTGCGTAACCTTATCCACGGTGACTACACCTGAGCCCTGCCCAGGACCTGCTGAATCTGAGTCACAAGATGATCAAAACCGGCAAGACTTATTCAAAGGCAACGTTTTTTACATATTGCGAAACCAATAGTATGTATGTTTTTCTTGGTGAAGATTTATCCGTGATTATAATCAGAACAGACATCTGAAAGATAGGTAAGTGGCCTTCCCCAGTCTCTCATTTTCCTGTCACATCACTCCAAGCAGCCGGGGAGCCTAGGGCAGGGCATTAAGAGGACAGGCTTCTGAGTGCGACAGACCTGGCCTTGAATCCTAGTTCCACCAGTTACTCTGTGATCTTGGGCACAGTGTTCAGCACAGTCCAGTCACCTGTGGAAAGGAACTTAATAATAATACTACCTACATCATGGTTGTCAGGAGGATTAAATGAGATAATGATGGAAAAATCCTCAAATGTAGCATCCAGCACATTTCAAGTCATACCACATTCCAAGCCTTTGCTTTTTGTAACATTCAACTCAATGGGAGAAAAACAAAGTTACCAAATTAAAGAAGGAAGTTTACTATTTCAGCTGAAACTTTGGTCTTCTAAAGAAATGGCCCCTCCTTAAAACCTGTTACACTCATTCTCTTTCCAAGAAGTTCCTATTCTGTAATCTGAGTAATCACGTGCCAACCCCGGTTCACTGTCCTATCAGACAAGTATGAAATTTTTCCTTTAGTACAAAGCCTATCCAGAGGATCCCAGGGTGGACTTTTTTGGCAACTAGAAGTGAGCATGTTCTAAAATGTCAGGTATACTACTAAAATAGAAGAAATTGAGTAATCAAGCATACCCAAGTCAGGAAGTTTTAAGATTTTTTGGCTCCGAATTACAGAAGGTATATAATTATAATACAAAGCAGATAAGAGCTTTGAATAGAGGTGTAAGAAAAGTAGTATAGGGAGGGATAGGGGATCCCTGGGTGGCTCAGCCGTTTAGCACCTGCCTTTGGCCCAGGGCGTGATCCTGGAGTCCTGGGATCGAGTCCCATATCAGGCTCCCTGCATGAAGCCTGCTTCTCCCTCTGCCCTCTGTCCCTCTGTCTCTCTCTTTCTCTCTCTGTGTCTCTCATGAATAAATAAAATCTTAAAAAAAGGAAGGGATAGAAAATTCCAAGAGTTTGAGGAAGACTTGCTAGGAGATGGCATTTGAGACACTATTTGGAGGCAGATTCAAATTTCACACAGCAGATCTGGGAAATAAGGGAGGAGGCAATTCGCACAGATGAAGAGCACGAATAAAGAAATCTTGTGTCCATCATGGAAGAAAAGCGAACATTGCTAGTATAGGAAAAGGAAGAAGAAAGTTTGCAGAGGTTATTGGTCTTATAAAAGTCAAATGATATGTAAATCTAATGAATAATGGTCAGGAAATTATTCAAACACCTTTAACTTTATAAGGTTCCTTATGACAGTTCTTATCCACTGTATTCTTCCTGGAGAAGGTAAGCAATGAGTTTTGAATCATAATTACAACATGGAACAAAACTACTGGAACAACTCCTGGGAATCACCTTGGGATTGAAGCACTTATTCAGCAAATCCATTATCTGTATTTTGCAGGGAGTGGTTTAGCAACCACTTTCCTTATAACCAAAGAAGAAAACACCTCGCTAAACCATTCCTAAGTTCTGTTCGACTTCACAGATGATCTCTAAGTCTTTTATCTACCTGTGAGGCATGCTTTCACAGTTGTTTCTCAAGAGGCAGAAAACTTAACTAACTTTTTCACATCATTCCATAAGTAGGATGGGAATCTTATGAATTTGCACCTTAGCTTACTCAATGAGACCATGCCACACAGAGCCCAGCAAACAGAACTCAACTTCTGGGGGCTTGTGTTGTTCATGTCACACTGAACAGATAGATGATCGTGAGAATACGAACCTGATGAATTCTTTCCCCACCAAGGCAGAAAGATGCCTCTTGGGTAACAGAATCTTTAGAACAAGCTGCAGTAGGACAGCAACAGTGAAGAGTCACGTACAGGCTGGCGCCTAAAAGGGAAGCCTACAAAGTTATGAAATACTTTACCTGTATTCATAGAGGGCAAAAGCTGCAAAAACTTGCAAACAATCACCATGTTTAGTTTGACCCTCTCCTAGTGCTTTATGAACTAGTTGCCAACATTTAAGAATTGAAAGATTTCACTGAAAACTTTAGACTATCAGCTTTTCTTAAAGAATTTGAAGATCTGGCAACCACTGGGCTGATGTTCCTGCTTGGCAGCTGTAGGCTGTCCCCTTGGCCTGAGTCTGCTCTCCACCTTCTACCTGGCTGGCCCCTGCAGGCATTTGTGTGGGCAATTCTTGAGTGTGATTTCAAAAATTAACCCACAGTTAGCACACGTCTTAATGGTCTTTCTTAATCTGGGGAGATGGTAATGATGATTGTGTATTTTATGTATTAATCAAATCCAGTTAGACAGACTATCTTACTTATGATTCAGGATTACTTTACAAACATTTATATGAAAATCAGACAAAGTGAAACCTGCCCTGGGTGATTAAAAGATAAGCAATGTAAGAGACAGTAGAACTACGTCTTGGCAGCTCAAACCAGGGTAAGTCATTAAGGAAGATGCAAACTTAAACTGGACTGAAAGCTTTTTGCTGGAGATGAGAGGCTAGTATCAATATGAAGGCACAAATGCAGGTTTTTAGTCAAGTGGTCAGCTAAACAGAACTTGGAAAAAACGAATACACTTTACATATAATGTATACATATAGGTACACCAAAATAATGCACGAAAAAATGATTCGAAGAAGTGAAGACAGTGTTAAATAATCATTCAGTATTTACACCAACCTGTCAAATTACTCAAATATCCACTGAAAGCTTGAGTTCTTAACAATCATTTATTTAAAAAACTTTTAAATTCTTTTACTAAACTGATGCTGGATCACTTTAAGAGCAAGTTTCCTAATTGCAAAAACATATTAATAAGCAGAGTCCCTTAAATAGCACTCCGTTGTGATAAAACTGCTGTCATACATGGTAAATAAAAAGAGAAACAGAATTTTCCTGTCACTTTATGCTGTGAAGCACGGAGAAAACCATCTGTTTGTAACCGGCAAAGTATCAGAACTGAAATTTGTGAGTCTCCGAAATTAAATAAAGATGCTGGTAAAAGCAGTGTAGTGTGACTTTCCTAATGTGTTCAGCAGCCCCCTCCACCACGCCGGCATTCCACCTTCTGCAGTTTCTGTGGGAGAGGATGACAACGCACCATCACACTAATACTATATTCGTTCCGCTGCTCCACAGGACGCTATGTTAGGCTACCAGAGCCGTGACACAGCTTTCGCCCCATCCAAGGACGTCCTGCGCCCCGCAGGCCAAATGCTCCTGGGGAAGCCCGCAGTAGCGGTCAGTGTGGCCACCTGTCCCTGGCTGCGAGCGGGCCGCTCAGGACGGATGCTCGGTAGCCCTAGTTCCCTTTGGGGGTGGAGTCCTACTATTAGTAGGTGACCCGGCTCCACCACCAAGGCCGGGGCTGCTCAGCTCGGCCGCGGGGGTCGCGAGAGGCCGAGGTCCCCCAGGCCCACGCAGGGCAGCTCCAGCGTGGCAGGTCCCGCTTTGGGGGCCTTGGCCTCCACCCTTTGCCTAGCCACCGGGGCCCGGGGTCGGGGAAGGCTCGGGTTGGGGACGCGACAGCCAGCCCCGAGGTCCCTGGGCTCCCGCCTCGGCTCGGCGCCTCCTCAAATGTCACCCTGGGCTCACCAAAAAGCGCGTTGAGCTGGTGCCCTGGTCCACTGCCCCCACCAACGGCCCCAAAACTGCTTTCTTCGCGGCTGCCATGAAACCAGCTTCGGGTCAGCGGGCTATCGCGGCCCGTTTCCCCGGTGACGGCGGCGGGCGGGGGAGGGGCGGGCGGCGAGCCGGGTAGACGAAGCGGCGCGCGACGCCAGAACGCTCGGACCGCGCTCCAGGCAGCCCCTTTACCCGCGCGGAACCTCCTCACCCCGCCCCTCCGGCCCAGACCCCGCCCCTAAACGCGTTCCCAACGACTTAGGGGCGTGGCGCGGGGGGGGGCGCTGCCCGCCGGGCCAGCCAATTAGCGAGCGCAGAAAGAGGCGGACCGCTCCGACAATCAGAGGGCGGTGAGACGTCACGGGGGCGGGGCCTGGGCGCGGCGGAGGCGGTGGCCCGCGCAGCAGATCACGTGGGCTCCCGCGACCCGGCGGCGGAGCCGTCCTGCCGCAGGGCCCGGGCAGGGCCGGGGCCGGGGCCGGGGGGCGGGCGCTGCTCTTTGGCGGGGAGGGTCGCTGGGCCGTGGAAAGGCTGCAGCTCCCAACCCTGGCCCCGGAGCTTCCTCCCGCGAATGGGCCCCAGAGTGCAGAACTGCCGGTTCCTCTGGGGAGCGGCGCACAGCGCGGCGTGACTCGCTCGGTAGACTGACCTGGTCAGGCCTTCCCGCGCTTCCCACGCCCCGCCCACTCGCGTATCCTTGCCCTGGATAAGAATTCCCTGTGCAGGAACCGGCCCCGTGTAGTGTGACCCCCGGGAGCGCGGCGGGAGCGCGGCGAATCCCTCATCTGTGTACGCTTCAGGGACGAGGAACGCGGAAGTTCTTTCGGTTTAGCATTTAAGGGAAGATGGCAAGATCAACCTTCCCGGGTCCCTTAGTTGACAATTGAGCATCCGGCACCTCCCTGTCCTGATGCGCCCTTGCTCCTCGCTTGACCTCACTCCAGTGTCCCCACCCTCCCACGCCATTTCCTCTCCCTCCATTAACTGCTCTACTTTGCAAAGGGAGAGGAAAGGGTCTCTTCTCATTTGACCTTGAATTTACCTTGCCAGGATCCTTTTTGACTCCTAGGTTTCAGGGGCTTTTCAAACTTTGAATCAAGACCCACTGTGAGAAATAGGTGACAACTCCAGGTGTGTGTGTGTGTGAGAGAGAGAGGGTGCGTGCATGCCCATGATTTATATATGATACCTATATTTATACATAAATATATCATGTATATTTACATTAGTGGAAAATGTTTCCAAAACAATTTATCCCTCCATGCTATGAGTTCTGCATTGTCTTCCTCTACTGAATATCGTTTTAGCAACTGAGTAAAGGAGGCAAAACTGAAAAAACAAAGGCCTTTATTTGGGGTCTTAGAATTGTAATTCAGGTGTACAGATTCTGAAGACATCAGGAAAGGGTCTTGCTCATGTGGGGAAAACAAGGGGTTTTTATCAGTAAGAAGGAAGGGGTGATTAATTACATGATTTAAAGAAGTGAAAAAACTGCTACTTTGGTACTGACCCATGGAGCCACTTCTGATTACTTTTTAAATATTTTATTGGTGCTGTGAAACCAACCTGTCTCTGGTATGTATTAATCCACTTTACTGGCCTCATATGATGTGAATGCCAGTTGCTCTGTTTATATGATCAACTGTTTGTAAAACAATTGCTGCTCCTGGCCTCCTTGTTCAAGAGTTCATGAGTTGGAAAGAAAAAAATGGAGCTTCAAAATGGAGAATCTTATGTCCAGAAATATTTGTTTTTAACAAAAATATCAGAGGGACGCCTCGGTGACTCAGTGGTTAAGCATTTGACTTCAGCGCAGGGCATGATTCTGGGGTCCTGGGATCGAGTCCCACATCAGGCTCCCTGCATGGAGCCTGCCTCTCCCTCTGCCTATGTCTCTGCCTCTCTCTGTCTCTCATGAATAAATAAATAAAATCTTAAAAAAAAAATCAGAGATCAATATTATTTTCTGGTAGCTGGAGTTTAAATGTTCTGTTCTGGACCTTGAGCAAGAGATCTGCTCCATATCTCAGGAACAAGTCCTACTTTTGAAAGTAGGTCAGTTTAGTCAAAGAGTTGTGTCTCATTTCAGAAGGTGGTCTTACAAAAGGGGTTCCCTACCCTCCTGCGCTGTTGGTGGGAATGTGAACTGGTACAGCCACTCTGGAAAACTGTGTGGAGGTTCCTCAGAGTTAAAAATAGACCTGCCCTACAACCCGACCCAGGAATTGCACTGCTGGGGATTTACCCCAAAGATACAGATGCAGTGAAACGCCCGGACACCTGCACCCCGATGTTTCATAGCAGCAATGTCCACAATAGCCAAACTGGAAGGAGCCTCGGTGCCCATGGACAGATGAATGGATAAAGAAACTGTGGTCTATGTATACAATGGAATATTACTCAGCCATTAGAAATGACAAATACCCACCATTTGCTTCGACGTGGATGGAACTGGCGGGTATTATGCTGAGTGAAGTAAGTCAGTCGGAGAAGGACAAACATTATATGGTCTCATTCATTTGGGGAATATAAAAAATAGTGAAAGGGAATAAAGGGGAAAGGAGAGAAACTGAGTGGGAAATATCAGTGAGGATGATAGGACATGAGAGACTCCTAACTCTGGGAAGCGAACAAGGGGTAGTGGAAGGGGAGGTGGGTGGGGGGTTGGGGTGACTGGGTGACGGGCACTGAGGGGATGAGCACTGGGTGATATGCTATATGTTGGCAAATTGAACTCCACTAAAAAAATAATTAAAAAACAAAAAACAAAAGGGGTTCCCAAAATTAGGCCTATCTGCTGCAAGCAATCAGGTGATTAAAAAGAGGCATCTCTATGGAAACAAAAGAAAAACAAAGGAAACAAAGGTCATTGGCTAGAGCAAATTATAAACCCAATGTGTGAGTCCTGAGTGCTTCTGCTGAGATTTCCAGATGTCAGGCTCATAGCGTCTTCACCGGGAGTGAGAGCGGGCAGTGGCAATCTGGTAGGTTTCCCTGGTTTGCGTTCTGAATACCTCTGGTGATCTTTCTGAGTGGCCCATATAGCAACAGGCACGAAGACTGTGGGCTGTTGTGGCAATGTCCCTGAAGTTTATCTCAAGTTGTCTACTTCAGTTTGCAGGGCTCTAGGAAAAAACGGCAATGTTTGGAAAAGATTTTATTTATTAGAGAGCACATACGGGGAGGGAGGAGCAGCGGGGGATGCAAACTCCCAGCTTAGCAGGGAGCCCAACACTGGCCGGATCTCAATCTTCCTCCCCCTCCCCCACCTCCCTGGAGATCACCACCTGAGCAGCGGAAGGCAGTCAATTCCCCTGCTGAGCCACTCGGGCATCCACAAAGTGGCAATTTTAGTTCTCAGTGATTCCAAGTTAAAAGAAGGAAAGAAAATTAGAAACCTTAGCTGGAGAATCACAGCCAGATAGCTGAGGAAACCAGAATTCAGGATCCAGCCCAGTTTTATACGGAAACCACAAACCCTCAATCAGAACTAGAATCTAACATGCGCACACGTGTGTTACTGAAATAGAATTTTTTTTCTCTTTCTAAAAAGAAAACCACAGGCCCAAAATGGTGTTCCTTAGGCCGAGTTTCCAAACTGGTACTTAATACCTAATTTGATTGCAGTTTCAATCTCCCCCAGAAATACAATCTTTTTAAAAAATTTAAACTCAATTAGTTAACATGTATCACTAGTTTCAGAGGTATGGGTCACTGATTTATCAGTCTTCTATAGCACCCATGTTCATTACATCAGGTGCCCATCACCCAGTTACCCCCTCCCTCCCTACCTTCCCTTCCAGCGACCCTCAATGTGTTTCCTATGATTAGGAATCTCTTATGGTTTGTCTCCCTCTCTGATTTCATATTTTCCCCTCCCTTCCCCTATGATCCTCTGTTTTGTTTCTTAAATTCCACATATGAGTGAGATCATATCATTGTCTTTCTCTGACTGACTTATTTCGCTTAGAATAGTACCCTCTAGTTCCATCCACGTTGTTGCAAACCCAGAAATGTAATTTGAACTGGTCAGTCAGGAATCTTCCTCATCAGCACCAAAGAGTCTGTCACTTGGGTCCTCTCCATCCCTCAAAGGAGGATGGGGTTACCTGCATGATAAGACCCCCTGCTGCTTCCCCCAAGGGAAAGTGACCTTGCCTGGAACAATCCTTTTCTTTTACTAATAACTTTCCAGCACCACCCTCCTTCCTATAAACACCTTCCGTTTTGTACTATTTCTCAAACTGCCCTCAATTTGCTGGATGGGATGCTGCTTGATTCACGAATCTTTTAATAAAACCCATTAGATCCTTAGGTTCATTCAGTTTGGGTTTTCTTTTTTAGCATTCTCTAAAATCACCCTCACATCCACTAAAGATAGCCAAATGAATACTAATTTGTTTGTAAATAAGTCTAATTTTAACACCTTGGCCTGATCTTTTTTTTAAATTTTTTAATTAATTAATTAATTAATTAATTATTTATTTTTTTTAAAATTTTTATTTATTTATGATAGTCACACACACACACACACACACACACACAGAGAGAGAGGCAGAGACACAGGCAGAGGGAGAAGCAGGCTCCATGCACCGGGAGCCAGATGTGGGATTCGATCCTGGGTCTCCAGGATCGCGCCCTGGGCCAAAGGCAGGCGCCAAACCGCTGCGCCACCCAGGGATCCCCCCTCTTTTTTTTTTTAAGATTTTATTTTTAAGCAATCTCTACACCCAATGTGAGGCTTGAACTCACAACCCGAGATCAAGAGTTGCACGCTCCACTGACTGAGCCAGCTAGGTACTGCTATACCAGCATTCTTTAGACTGGCAAATTTATTAATACATTTCATAATTTTTAGAAACATAGACCTTCTTGTAGTAAATTTCTCAGTATTGCACAAAACATTTACCAACAGACCTAAATTTCTTTAGTTTCTCTGTAATAGGAAGTCAAAAGTAAATAAGCATATGTTTTAGTAATTAATGTTTCAGTAGTCCATATAGCTTTTCACTTAGAAAAATCATCAAAAGGCCTTGTCCAGCCTGCTTTTTCCATTCATCGCCTTGCTTATAGTCCCCTCACAAGCATATGTATAAGTTGATGAAGGTCAGAATTACCAGGTTTATAGGTCAGAAT